CAGCCTGGCTGTGGGCACCGCCAGGGCCGAGGCACCCACAGCCTCCCTGGGCAAGCCGTGCCAGTGCCTCACCGCCCTCACAGCGAAGCACTGCCTACTGCCTAGTCTAGATCTACCCCTGCTTTAGTTTAAAGTTGTCGCCCCTCGTCCTGTCGCTATACACCCTTGTAAACGGTCCCTCCCAGCTTTCCTGTAGGCCCCCTTCAGGTACTGGATGGCTGCTATGAGGTCTCCCTGGAGCATTTCACGTAAGCATTGTCGTTTCACCACATAATCATAGAATCATAGAATGGCCTCGGCTGGAAGGGACCTTAGAGATCATTTTAATCCAGCCTCCCTGTCGCCAGGGACGCCACCTCTCGCCTAGATCAGGCAACACATGGGGACCGAACGGGAATCGAACCCGCCACCTTGGCGTTGTTAGCGCCACGCTCAACTGACTGAGCTAACTGGCCCCCTGTAATGTGGTGCATAAGTTTATTTCTGGGGTGCTCTCTGCCACGCTTGCTCTAACAGTTGGGTTTTATGGTCTAGCCACAGCCCTGTCTGAGTAGTTACGCTCCAAAGGGTGCTTTGAAGGTGGTGAGTGATCTGTGTTGGTTGGAGGTGCACACTTGACATGCTCCGTGCATTTCCACGCGTTGTAGTTTGGAGACAATTTGAACCCGTAAGAAGTGGTGTTTATAGTTTTGGGGGTCCACTCAATTGTATGAAAATCCAAGCACAGGGCGGTCAGAACCGGGTGCGCTCCCTTCGATCACTTTCAGGCCCTTGTCTTGCAGACACTGGTGCCTGAGATTAAGGTCATGGAATAATTTGGGGTTGGAAGGGACCTCAGGAGGTCTCTAGGTCAACCTCCTGCTCGAAACAGGTCAGCTGGAAGGTCAAACAAGACTTCTCAGGGCTTTATCCTGTCAGGCCTTGAAAACCTCCAGGGTTGGAGACCACAAAGTGTCTCCGAGCAACCTGTCCTGCTGCCTTGCGAGGCTCACCGGGAAAATGTTTCCCCTTACAGGCGCTCCAAAGCTGCTTTTTCTTTCAACTTCTGCCTGTTGTCTCCTGGCCTCTTACCACACACCACTGTGAACAAACTGGTGCCGACTCTGAGCTCTAGCCAGTTCCAGAAGTCTGACTTTCGTCAGTTTAGAAATCCGTCAGTGTTTTGTGGCACGGAACTCTGAACTTGTAAATGCAGCTTTGCTTTGCTTTACTTGTATTAAAATTTACTTTGAAGATTGCCCCTTGCGCTTTCCGATGTTTGTTCTTTTGATGGGATGTTCTTCTGAAAACTACTCCAGGTCCTAATAAGCTTCTCATATGTTTAAAAAATGTGTGTGTATGTATATATATATATATTTTATTATTTTTTATTTGGGGAGGTAGGCTAGTTTATAGTGCCCTGACTGCCAGTCAATGTATTTTACTGGGTCTTTATCAAATATGAGAGATTACTTGAGTGACTAGCTTTTTTTCCTTAATTTTTTTTTTTTAAGAGTAAAGAAACTTGTTTGGGTATAGTTAACACCAAAAGCTTTATGAAAATAAATTATTTCTACTATTTATAATTTTTTTTTGAAAGAAAATGAGCAAAAACTGAAGTTGCAAGAGCTGCTTTGCTGAAAGTTTGCTTTAAGAGCACTGGCTTTTGAAGTAGTGAAGATAAACATGAAGCCTGCCGTTAAAATGTGGGATGTAGTGCTTGTTTTTGTTAAGCACATCACTGCTGAAAGAGCTTTCCTTTGAATCAGTGATCAGAAGTTTCTGCTAATTTGCAATAAATTTAATTTCCCAAACTGAGACACTTTGAATGTGCTTTTATTTGTGTTTATTTGAATGCCCATTGAAGCTGCATTGACATTTCTGAGTAGTCCTTCAGTGGGTTTTGAATCAGGTTCTTGCATCTGTGGCTTAACTGAAAGGATTCTTGTAGCAGATAGAAAAATACAAAGTTATGGCCTGTTTTTCCTTGCACAGGTTTTTAGGTGTTTTGGTTGTGGATTTTTTTCAGACTTCAGTCTACTTATAGATTTGACAATTTTTAGAAATCTAAGTGATTCAGCTACCTTTGTCCTTGTCCTTTCCACCTCTGTTCGCTATTACCAAAGGCAAATTCCCTCTGCTTTTGTGCTCGTGGGAGGTGGAATGTTGGAAATTTCAAATTTAAACAGGAAAGGAGATGTGAGTAAATGATAAAGCATTGTTTCATTCAGATCAGAAAAGTTTTCTGAAATGGGATAACTTGCTTCTGTGACAATGTAGCTCTTTTAGACATAAGATGCTCCAGAGGTGGTCAAAGCACAGAGTATGCTAAAATGCTCAGTATCATTTTATTAATTCAGAATTGTTCTGGTGCTGTTTATGATGAGACTTATTAGTGTCCTGTTCCTGTGTGTGCAGTGGTCGGTTACTTCACAAAAACGGATGTTTACTTGTAGTGCGTGCTCTCGGACTGTTCTTGGATGTTGTGACTTCTTGGCTTTCAGCTTCTAGAAGAGAAGAACGTTCACTCTAAGCCTCTGCACTAAGTGCCATTGATTTTACTGGTGGTTAATCTACATCTCAAGTGGTTAATCTACAAAGATTTTGATTCTGAACAGTAATGGAACTGATCTTTTTCCTCGTGATTCTCAATGTTTTCCATTTCTCACACCCCCTTTTCTCTCTTTGTGTCTTTTTTTTTTTTTTTTTTAATTAAAGGAAACACCGAGGAGGCTGGAAGGCTACTGGGCAGCAAGAATGTCCGTGTCAATTGCTTGGATGAGGTACAGCGAAACTGTACAACCGTTATGCGGGGTTTAACAAGGAAAATACTAGGTCTGGAGGCCTTCCTGTTATTAAATAATATTGCTATACAGACTCCTGGAAACTAGTTATTCTGAATATATATCCAGCCTGCACCTGATTAACGAAGAGCTCCTACTTTTTTTTCCTTTTTTTTTTTAAGAAAGTTTAAAGATTAATGTTATATCAAGTACCTGCACTGTTGTATTTTTCTTTCAAGTCCCAGCATGATCTTTGGGTCTGTAAGGTAAGATGAATGTTGCAGCAAGACACATGGGGGTGCCCCGGACTTCTTGTCGCCTCCACCAAACCAGTCCCTCTGCTTAGATAGCAGACATCAACATGGATAAAGAATACCTGTCCCCATCTCATGCTTGGATCTCATCACCCAAAGCCTTGTCTTTGCAGAACCAAGGACACACTTGGAGAGTGAGGAGTTAAGTGAGAAGAGCTAGGTCAGAAGTGGAAAACACAGTCTTTTGCAGAGGCACGTCTGGTAGACACATAGAAGATAAAATCCTTAAGCACTACTTCAAGATGGGAGGAGTTGGTGGAGAAAGGAACCTTGTGTCATGTTCATATCCGATTCCTTTTCTTTTTACAGTTTTTCTAAAGCAACGTTAATGTGAGAGTGTAATGTGGAAGCCAAGCTGTAATTGCCCACCATGCACGTTAGATCAATGTGTAATTTATCAATTTAAATGTCAATTTTTGGTTTTTTCCCAACTTTTATAATTGCGTGGGGTCACTGGGAAATTCAGGCTAGAAGGGAACCCCAGAAGGTCTCTAGTTCAGCCTCCCACTCAGCAGCTTCAGCTCTGAGGTCAGATGACGTTACTCTGAGCTTTATCCTGTCTGGCCTAGTAAACCTCCAAGGGTGGAAACTGCACAGCATTCCAGGGCACCTTGTGCTGGTGCTTACAGTGAAAACGCTTTTCTGTTATGTCTGAACCTCTCTCTCAACTGAGGGTCATTGTCTCTTGCCCTCCTGCTGCCAGGATTCAAGACTTTGGCTCTGTTTCCTCAGCAGTCTTCGTGTAGGCACAGGCAGGCTGCTGTGGGGTCCCACCAAAGCCACCTCTTCTCCAGGCTGAACAAGCCCTTTTCCTGCAGCCCCTCTTCACTTCACGAGTGCTAAAGTTTCCACCAGCTTTTGGTGGCACTCGCTGCAGTTTCTCCATGTCTTTATTGTACTGGAAGGTCCAAAGTTGGACAGGGAGCATATTGTAGATGTGATCTCATGAATGCTGAACGGAGGAAAAATATAACTTCATACTGGTTGTCTCTGTAGCGTATTGTTATCCTTTTTTATTCTGCAAACAGATTCATTTTTCTGATTGTTCTTAAATACAATTCAATATTTAAACCTTAATTTCTAGTATGAATTTCAACAAGCTTCTGACAAACTTGTCAGCTTTGGAAACCCAATATACAATGTAAGTGTATTTGCAAACGTGCTTTATTGTATGGACTTAAAATTTTGTTTTAGCGTAATTGCTGAACTAGTGCTGAATGACCGCACCCTTGATGCGGTACTAGTGCAACACGCAGGATTACTGCTGAGAGGATGTGGGTTATTAATAGAAATGATAACTGAGTTATGCCTCAGGCTATTGTTAAAGAAGAAATAGTATTAGCAATACTTGTCTAATGCTCACATCTGACTAAATACACCCAAGGCACATAAGGCTTAAAAGTTCATGTGACGGTCAGCTTGCAGTCTCATTTTTATCCCCAAGAGTGGGGTATAATGATGCGTATCAAACACGAAAGGATTCAGATTTAAGATTCTTAATCACATTATTATTTATATTACTACTGTTACTTATTTTATTAATGTTAAGAAGTGAGGAAACAGCCCTGAAAATTGAATGCTTAGATCACTGAAATGGGAACACAGTTCACTTGGGAACTAAGAACTCATTTCTTTCCTTAAAGACCTTTTTACATGAGAGAATCCACAGAATGAGCACAAGTTTAAAGTAATTCTCTTTACATGTTTGCTGTACCACAAACAGAAGTCACAATGTAATAGTTTCCCCAGGCTGCATCCAGAAGCAGGCTGTTACATACTGCACTTCCTCGCTTTGAAAAATATACAGAGAAGATGTCCCTCCAATTTTTTGCTTTAACCGTATATTCTGACTGCTTAGATCTGCTTTCTTCTAGATTAAAAGCTACTGAGAATCAGGAATCTTTTATTGGGGTACCTTTAGACAAGGCTAAGTCACATTTTAACATCTTCCAAATGCATTGACACTTGTAGTATTTTGCTTAAAGTTTTGTTTCTTTAGCAGTTGAGCTGTAATCGTGGCTCTTCTGCCTTCTTTCCCCTTGTTTCAGCTTCTTCCTTCAAAAATGTAGGCATGAGCTGGACACAGTATCTCAGCAGTGCTTCCGCGCTTGTTACATGTATTTAAAAACTTGCAAATAAGACTTAGAGGAGCAATTTTTTTTCCTGCCTGTGTAACAAGACTCACTTACCCTTTACCTGTGCCTGCCTGCAGTGCTTTACTGGGAGCAGTAGGTCACTGGAAAGCAGAGTAAGAACCCTTTGTTCCAATTAGATTCAGATGTGACCATTTTCCAGAAGGTTGTAGTTCACCAGCAGATACAGTCCCGTATTTTCCCAGCATCCTTTCTGACCAAGTCCGGGTTTTTTTGTTTGTTTCTTTGTGGATTTAGGTAGTTGAGGAAAGGAAAGGCAATTAGCCTTAATCGCTGTTGCTATGAGGACAGACATATGTAGCCCTTCCACAAAACTTGTCTTTAACAGTTTGACTCTGGGAACTTTTTAAAAAATCAGGGACATGTAAGCTCAGTTGTCCCAAAATATTAGACAAAAAGATGGGCAATGGAAATGGAAGCAAAATAAACACAAATGCATTTCATTTAAATGCACGCTGCTTGTCGTGTTGGAGATGGAGCGGTTGCTAGTTTGGAAATGTAGTATGGAAGAAAGTGTTCAGGAATTTTCTCTTCCCTGGGAGAACAGAGCTTGTAAATAGTCTTGTGCCTTCATGATGGCAGTTTGCTGACTTTAATTTCATCCACTTGCAGGGTGTGGCTAAGATCTTTCAGATTATTATGGAAAGACCGTCCAGAGGAAGATTGTGGGGTTTCTAGCTGTGAAAGCTTCTTCCAGCCATGTTGGTAGTTAAGGTTGCCAAGGAGCACTGTAGTACAAAATCTCGTATTTTCTGCATATCGGGAGGAGAGACTTGACCCGAAAAGGCTTCTGAGTTCTTCTGTATTTGAAGTATTTGTAAGGTTGTTCATAATCTTCTTATATCCAACTATCATTTGGCATTAGCAGCATTACTTTTTTTTTTCCTCTCTGGTCTGCTAGTTCAGCTGTTCGCTTAGGTAATAAAATCCATCTTTCAGAAACAGTCCTCTTCTGTATGCCAATTACAGAACTGAATACTTTCTGGGAATTACAGGAGCAGCCTGCTTATTCGTGTGTGAGGGATGCGTAGCTTTACTCGTACTGAGGGTGTTCATTGGAGGGTTCTTCAGTTAATCTATCTTGTTATTCCAGTGTGAACTTCCTACGCCAGCAGAAAATGCCCCGATCCGTGGCCTTTACTGAGGAGAAAGAGTTCTGTCTTTTGATGTTTTTTGTTTAGTGTTTCAAAATATGCAAAACTAAAGAAAATTCACAAGCTGTTAAGAATTAACTGGTCTCAGTGCAGGTTGCTGACTGATGTAGGCTTGAACTTTTCATTGCAGAAGGATCATCAGAGGAACCTAATATGTTGCTAGGTGAGACCAGCAGCTCAGCAGGATGGCTGTAAAGAACTGTAACTATGATCAACATTCACTGAAGCGTATTTAATCCTCTAATTAGTTCATAATTAGCTGTAGCTGAAATTATTCTTGCATGTTATCTGTTGTCTATCTTCCAAACCCTTCGTGCAGTCAGTTTAAGATAAGTAAGGGCAATCTTACTCTAAAGCTTTAAGGGTGAAATTTCTAAAGTTTTTCATCCACTGGAAATTCCTGTCACATATTTTGAGACTAGCAGCATTCGGTACTATTTCTGTTTAAAGTCAGAGAGGCTTTTACAATCCAATTCCAAATAACTACCTGAACCAGTCTTAATGAGCTGGTCTAATTTCAGTAATGCACTTCCTTTTTATTTAGGAGAGTTGATTTTGAAGATACACATCAAGTAGTATTCCTGTGTTCCCTGTGGCACTTGCTCTTTTTGCATCATTTGTTTCCTTTTTAGTAACTTCCCAAATACTGTCTCAAATAAAAGCTAGACCTACAGTCTATGTGCTTAGTTTGTAATCTTCTGAAGGAATAGAACTGGTATCGTTGTCTGAATCTAAATAATAAAATAAGGCACAGTTTCCATATTAACGTGGGACTGGGCTCCTCATTGCAAAAAGCTGGGAAAGGAAGAGGTGAGTGTTTTAACGCTATCGGTGTGCACGTGTCTGCAGCAGTTTTTCAGCCAGGGCTTTTACAGCCCTTTCCCACTCTATTTGGGCAGTTTGTATTCACACATACAATGTCCTGGTGTACCCCAACACCTGCGGAGGGAGTTGTTCCAGTGTGACCCAACCTCTGTGTGCCACACCTCGGCCAAGTTTCCATGACTGAGAAGGTGAAGTGAGCATGAGATGTAAAACTCCGGGAATTAGCGAATCATCAGTGTGTTATCTGCAAAACAAAGGCTTTTAAAAACATACATGTATCATTTTGCGTTTTTACACAGTTAGCATGAGTGTTTAAATGCTTGTAACGCAGTCAGTTTTGCTGCCAGATGTGCACAGGTCGGTGGGATGTGAGCTGGTCTGTGTATTCTTTGGTTGGTTCTCCCGACTCCGGTTCCCTGGTCATCCCACGCTCCCTGATTCCTCTGGTCAAGGAAGGCTGAGGAACGGTTTTGTTGAAAACTTTCTCCAGAGTTCCAGTTTATCTTTATAAATGTATTTTTTATTCATCCTGTGGACACACACCTCTCCCAGGTACAGAAGAGAGATAGCCTGACCTGCGTTCTTCTTCCCACGCTTCTTGTGTTGGAGTCGTACCCTCTCTGGCTCTGGTACTTATCTGCCCCTCCTGCCTCCACATGTGGCCTTTTCTGCTCTTGTTACCTGATTCAGCCCACTGACCCTGTAGTTGGGGTTTTTTTTCTTCGATTGGCAGCATTAGGTCAACTTAGTTCTTGGAATCATAGAATCATAGAGTGGCCTAGGCTGGAAGGGACCTTAGAGATCATCTAATCCAACCTCCCTGCCATGGGCAGGACGCCTCGGGATCCCGTCTCTCAGTCGGCTTCTGGTGTGTTTTCAGCATCGGGAAGTGGGCAGCTGGGCTGGCAGTGCCGTGAGGTGTAGCCCTGTTGTGCCATGGAGTCCTGCTGCTGGATGAGCTGGAAGAACCTGGTGAAGGGAGGTGCCCAGCAATTTGTAGAGGCCCTGCGAACTCGTCCCCTTGAACAGTCAGACATGCAGGGAATACTTAGAACCCTACAGAAGATGGGAGATGTTAATTTTGCTCCCATGTAACATTCCTGCGAAGTAAACAAGGAACTCGGAGAGATTAATTTTTTGTCCTAGGGAATGAGGGTAAAAGACTGGATTTTTGGTCAGAAGATTGTTACTTAGTAGCTGCTAGAAAATGGATTATTCATCCTGTGTTCCACAGTGGAGCAATAAATAATTTGTTTGATCTGTAGGCTTAATAAACTGTCTGCTAGTTCAGTCTTTTCAGTATGTTGTATTGACAATCCAAATGTCATCTGGCAGAAATCAGACTGTTGCTGGACGCGGCTTTGATATCCAGCCTGAGAAGAGCATTTGTGGTGATTTCAGTTGCTGTGTAGGGACGATTCAGGATGCCAGGCTTTTCCAGATCAGCTTGTGTCTAGCCTGTGCCCTGTGTTGCTGTGAATGTGAAAGTCTGATATTAGTGTGACCTTAAGTCCAACTGACTGACAACTGTCTGTGTGCTTCGTGCTTGCTGTGGTTTGTTGGTCTACACCACAGCCTGACACTTTCAAATTTAATCAAAGGCTTTTAAAGCAAGGTTCCTAGGAGGAGAGGATGAAAAATAAACCACCTCACCCAAGCAAAAACAAAAAAACAAATACCAATCCTTTCCTTTGTCTTGTAATCTTCCGGCAGAATTTTAAATGGAAACAACTGGTACTCAAGTTATAATCAAACTTAAAAGTCCTCATTTTCTTAAAGTTCCTTCACCAATCAGAAGCTGTTCTTATCCCCTTACAGCAGATCCCTCCTGCGCTGCTAAAGGCGGCACATCTATACTGTGACTTTAGGCTGGGATTGGCCTATAGAAATTGCTGTCGACATCACATTACATCTTTATATATTAAGATAGGAAGCTTTTACTTACCTTTACAGGCCCACAAATGAAACCTAGCAAAAGCAATCACAAAATTGTTTCATGTTTGTGAAGTGATCTCTTCAGGGCTTTTGTTTCTCTAATGGCAGTCTGTATTACAGTTTACCAAAATATTTCAGGTTTCTGAAACACAGTGCATCAAGTAATAATTTTGTTTTCAATTAAGATAGGGAATAATGGAAATATTTTTGAATTGTTATTATAATTTTAGATTTCCTCATTTCCCTCACCTTTAGTTTGTTTGGTTTGGGGTTTTGTTTGGTTTTTTTTAAATTATACTAATATGTTTAACCCAATTGAGGTTTATTCCATAATAAATTGAAACAAGAAATATATTTAGGCTCAAACTGATGATTATGTTATTTCAGAGTTACCATGCGGAGTTCCCATTTACACAGCTGCAGTAAAGAGATACGTAAATGTGTTCATACCCAGCCTTAGCCTGCAAAAAAAGAAGAAAATGCCATTTTGATTTCCTTCAGGGACAAACTAAAGCACACTCCCTTGTATTCAGTGCTGAAGAATGTTCCTGGGCAATTACCAAGCCTTGGCTGATAGCGTGAATCCTGACTTGATGTTCAGTGAAAAGAAACAGCATATTGGAAAATGTATCAAATTCTAAAACCGGAGTGTCGTGCAATTTTCTCGGAAATGTGCTTCTCCCTGCACTAACAACTTGCCCTTATTCTGAAAATTTCCCCTCGGGTTTGCCCACGTTTACGTTTATAATTACACCAGCGCAACTCTCATAAATTTAGTGCCTCCCTTGCTGGAGCTGCACCTTTTTGTACTGGTGTGGTTTACCAGAAGGCAGGTTTAAGACTGTGTGGTTAAAGTCTCGCTGGAGCTGTGTCTCTCTACAAGGGCTTTCAGAGCTCGGCCTGGTGTGAAATCGCAGGCGTGATACCCAAAGGGTGGAGAAATGGGCGAGGGGTGGATAAAACAATTACCCGGAATTGTGCCTAAAAATGGGTTCCTGAAACTGCAAATCTTTGTAAAGGCACAACCAGCAAGAAACTGTTCCTAATTTTCTTGTTCCTCATCATGTCGAGCAGGAGGGAAAAGAAATAAATTAGGAACCTGAGAAGTTTTCTGAGACAAGCTTCACCTCCTAGCAGAAGCGAGCTGGTTTTAGTCCTGATGGCTTACGCAGAAGGCCACTGACAAGTGGCCATAAGTGGTTTTGGTTTATTCAGCGCTGGTCTGTTATCAAATATATAGCAACACATAATCAGAAAAATGACATGGAAATGGAAAATCTACTGCATGTTAGTAACCTTTTTTTTTTCTATGAAGATTTTGCGAGCTTTTTTGTTGTTGCTAATTTAAATACTACGTGCAGCTTTGGTAGTTATGCTGAATTATGTCTATACAAGTAAAAATTCCCGAAGGTGTGAAGATCAAGATATATAACTAATTCTTTTTTGTATTTCTTCGGTTAGCATGGCATGACCCCGCTCATGCACGCAGCCTACAAAGGGAAGGTCGACATGTGCAGGTTGCTCTTGCGACACGGAGCTGACGTGAACTGCAACGAGCACGAGCACGGATACACTGCCCTGATGTTCGCTGGCCTCTCAGGTAACTTCGTGCTAAACTTGGACCACTGAGTTTTATGACTCTTACGGATACAATTTGCCATAAATCCATAAAGGAAAATGTTGACATGTTTTTATTATTCAGCTTCACTGTTACTTACGTGAATCATACGAATATGTCAACACCGGTAGAATCATAAGGGCAGAGGAAGAGGAAAGCTGTTGATCAGACCTAGGATCTTTTTTCGTATAAAAATCAATTTTGTTCAGCATTTTGAGGCACATAATCTGTCTGTACTTTGTCCTGTTTGTTACAGATCTCAAAATTCAGTCCTCTGCGAGTTCTCTTGTGCAGTGGGATACATTCTGTTTAATTATACTGTGTCACACTGGAGAAGATCCTGCACCAAACTGCCTTTTTTAAGACTACAAATCAGCAGCTTTTAGTAGTATTTGAGGCCTGTCAAATCAATCCAGTATTTTTGCCTTTCTCCTACAATATTTTTGCAGTTATCTTGTGGGATTTTAGAAAATATATTTAATAAGTTTTAAAAACATGTTTTCTCACATTAATTTTCCCCTCTTCTCGTACGTTATTTTTTTTCCATGGGTGTGCTTTGTTATATATATATATGTGTGTGTGTATAAATATATGTGTGTATATATATTCTCCTGTCCCAGGTGGTGGTTTCCAGCTTTCCTCTTTATGTCTTCCCAGAAGGTTGATTGTAGGGATGTACATTTTCTTAACAGATAGAGTTTAAGCTCTGCCTTCTTTCATCATAAATAATAAAAAAAGGCATATATGTGTATGTGAACCTTACCTGTATCATCAGGTTGCTTTTGTGCTAAAACTCTGGTGAAAAGATTTGGGAAATGTCAGTGTTCTGTGGCACGAGCAACATCAGAGCTGCAGCAGATAGGTGGGAACAAACTCTGAGAGGTTGTTAAGTGACTGCAGCTTTATGGAAAATGCTGAATTTTACCATTTTCTCATAGCTGAGCTTTTAACTTGTCATCCTGGGTTTAAATGCTTCTGAACGTTGCCTTTAGGGTCTGTTATCTGTTGAGTGCTACTGATACAACGCCTTTGTTTTTACACCACACAACTTCATTTTCATCCACCACCCCCTTCTTTTTTTATATTCACTTCTCTGTATTTAGCATATGCACAAAAACTGATAAAGAATACCTTTGGAAGCGGAACCAGCACAAGCGGTGACAAGTGTCCTTATTAGTCTCGCAAGGGCCCCAATTAAGTCATCGAATCTTCCCATCAAATTTGAGCTTCATTTTCCTTGGTATTTAGCCCAGTCCGAACACCCAGTTCCTGCTGCGGAGAAAAGAACAATCTGTTCTCTCTATGCTCCTGCTACATAATAGTACTGGATTTGTTTTTCTTCTTAGAATAGCAAATGTTGTCGTTGAACCGTCAAACTGGATTAGTAGAATTTGCCTCTGTACTGCTATCCAGGGGAACAGGCTCTACTGTAGTTACATGTATAGGACTCCTCGAAGTTCCATGGGGAGCTGAATGTGTTGTACCCTGCCAGAATTTAGTTTTTACTTTGATTTGACCCTCTGGAGCCATAAATAAGGAGGCTGCACTGTGCTTTCTCTTAATCTTTTCTTAAAATAATGACATTAAGAACATTCATTTCCCTCAGTCTTATTCCTAGTCTTTAAGAAATTCACTCCTTGTTTTTATACAGCGTAATGTATCACAGGTTATGGTTTGTTCTCTCTCATTTCCCCTGTCTTCCCCCGACATGCAGGAAACAAAGAAATCACCTGGATGATGTTAGAGGCTGGAGCAGAGACCGATGTTGTCAACTCGGTGGGAAGGACAGCAGCTCAGATGGCTGCTTTTGTGGGTAAGGTGAAAGTCTGTTACCATTTCCTAAATTCCTAAAGAATTAAAATGCTAGATTCAGATGCTTTTTATTAGTGAAACGTTACTTAATGACCTGTTCTGAACTGGCACAGTTGTTCTACTTTTTCTCCACATTTCATCCTGTAACTGTCAGTTTCTGTGCTATTCCCATGCTTTGTTTAATTAAAGCCCAAACCTGTTAGAATAGATGCTGCTGTTCTCCAAGTGTGCAGGTTTTTGCAGTGTCATCGCTGCTCAAATAGCAAGAGGAAGCCGGGAACATCTGAGGCGTCAGCAGCACGGTACGGACCGCGCAATCGGAGCTTCCTTTGTGGAAGGAACAAGCGTAGCACTCGAAGTCAGGGACTCTCAGTCGAGCTTTGCCACTGGCGTGCTGTGCGCTGGCTCCGAGTCACCTCCTGCTCTTCTCTCTCTGCTTTTGGGAGAGGGAGAAGTCTCGGGACCTGCTCTGCAGCAGTCCCTACTTACTGACCTCAACCTGAGTAGAGCAAGGTAAAAGATTTGTCATTCCCGTATGCTGTGTGATCCCAGGCAAAACATGCAACCAGCCTTTCTTCTGTTGTTACGTTTCTTTTTCCTGCCTTTTTTTTTTCTTTTCTTCTCTAAATCCTTTTTACTTCTTTACCCAACTTGACAGTGCTGTGAGATTCATACACCACTTTATTTCTAGCAGGAAGTCTGATAGAGTATTACCAGCAGCAGTGGAGCCATTTGAATGACTCTGCTGTTGCTCTCCAGGATCTATATTTTCACTTCAGCACAACCTTCTTGTATTAATGTCTGAGAACTCCCTTGCAAGTCCGTTGGCTGTTCTGGATTCAAGAGCCGACATTGCCATTTAGATTCACTTCCTTGAATAGTGAGTTAGTGCAGTTTCATTTCAATCTTGTTCTGTTCTTTTGAAAGAGGAACAGATTGACATTGTTCACTTGAGATTCAAGCAGCAAAACCTTAAAACTATTTACTTAACGTGTTGGAGAAGCTCACTTCTCTTAATTATACTTTGGATTCGGGGAGTCTTTCCCAGTGTGATGCTGAGTTGTTAGTGAAGGGGAAGTGCTATCTTCAACATAATTTTGGAGAATTCTTGTTTAAAATCTTATCATGTAACCAAGATAGAGTAAGTATTTTCAGGCCTACTGGGATATGGAACTCTGTAAAAGTCCTGTCTCGTCCCAAATTGTACTGGGTCAAGCTACAATGATCCTAGAGGTGAAATTAAGACACAAACGAGGTCAATGTTGAGTTTTCTTTTGGGTATTTATTCTTCAAGTGCAGAGAAAGAGGGCGGGTAAGGGAAAGGCAAAAGAAGAAGACACCAATACCACCACGGAGTCCAGCAGCATCCCACAGGTCGTTGGTGGGGGAATATTCTGACTAGGTGCTGGTCTGCCTTTCTGTTATTCCCATTGTCCCTGCCTTTTCCCCACCTTTTCACGGGCACTAGGCGTGATAAATCTCCTCCTTTTGCCACATGCGCGCTGCTGTCCGGTGGTCACGGGCCGGGGTCTTCTGGAGGAAGACTTGTAGTCCTCCTCGCTGTGTACTTTTCACCTTTAGCTCAAAACTGCTGAGCTGGGGACTACAAGGCCGATTTAGAGCAGATGGCCAGGTGGCTGCACTCTTACTGACAGCGGAGTTCCTGCCCCATTATCTAGATGCTCCTTAGCAGTCCCTGTTATCTAGACTCCTTTGCAACAGTGTGTCAGTTCCGTGCTGAATTATCGCTGTGTCTGCAGCCTTCACCATATTCTCTGGCAGAATGTTGCCAAAGGCCTCCTGTCTGAGCCGTAGTCCAGGCCTGGCAGGTGTTAGTCGCTGCTAACGTTGCAGAAAGGTGGTTAATTACTCCAGCAGCAGTTTGTTGTGGTAAGCCTTGCAGTCCAAACGATGTGTCCTTGCGATGTTGAGACAATCTTTTCTTTCTTTGAGTCCCACAAGTCTGAACACTGGAATCAATTCCTCTTCTTTTTTATCTTCTGTCCAATCAACATTCATTCATAGGTGTGTAGGAAGTGGGGATACTTTCCTCGTCATTTGTCTTACACTGTGCTCTGTTACCTTAGAACACTCTCTTCTGAAACAGTGGAGGGTTTTAAATGGTGGAATTTGGTTGTCCGTGTCTTCTACTGATTAATAGGATTAGTGCCAAGATAAATCAATCAGTTCAAAGAATGTGATCCTGAACTAGAGAAGCTAAATTTTACTTTCCCTTTAGCCAAGTAATCCATCATATTGTCAGATGTAGAAAACAAGAAGGGGGTGCAGCTTCTCTCATCTCATTACCTTCATCAGTCTTTTTTTTTTTCTTTTTGTAAACTTGAAGCGCATTCTGTTCTTCTGACTTCTCCCACTTCAGGTTAATACACTACTACTTGTAAGTCTCAGTGCAAATGTCATTAATTTTTGAAAGTACAAAATGGAGAGAACTTCTCTTGAATTTTTACCCCAGTATGATGAGACTACCAGTACAGTACGACTTTGGGAAGAAATACCTGTTCTCTTAGTTTTGGCTTA